GTTCCTTTTTGCAAGATCTTTCTCCACATGGCCTAAACTTTGTTTTCGAGGAATTTCATGCTATATTACATGAGGGAGTAATAGACAGACAAGTACGGCTCATGATCGAGGTGCTTTTTGAGATTAGAAGAGCGAAATTTATGTACCATCCGGCAATTATTGACGAGCTGGATCTTGTTGAGGTTGAAGAACAAGTCACTCATGTTGTATCTTTGTTACACGAGATTGATCCAGAGACTAGTGTGGATGTTTTCAGGGCAGATATGATATTTGAAGAGAGCGAAAACCATAACGAAGATGTTAAAAGTTTCGTTCTAGACGAGGATTCTGAGAGCGACGAGGTATCTTCTCGTGCAATGTTAATAATTGAGAATAATGATTTCGATACTAATGACTCCCAGGATGAAGCTGACACTGATATAGCAGTTCTACGGAAGACTATATGTCGGCATATAATGTCCAGTCGTAACTATGAGGAGGTGGGACACAAATTACTTGGTATAAAATTGCAGACTCGACAAGAGATGGAGATATGTAATATGCTGCTGGAGTGCTGCTGTCAAGACAGGACTTATTTTAGATACTACGCCAACATAGCGCACACATTGTGCATGATTATTCCTACATACTGTCGTAATTTTGAGGAATGCTTTGTCTATGAATGCTCCATAGTTCATCAGCTTGAAGTTAATTATAAATTGAGAAATATGACTAAATTTTTCGCTCAATTGCTTGGCACAAATCTTCTATCGTGGCATGTTTTGGGGTACATTCACCTATCCGAGGATGATGCTAACTCCTCGTTGCATATTTTCATCAAAATCCTTTTCCAGGAGTTGTCAGAGATGCTCGGAAATCACTTATTGAAGGAACGATTGAATAATCCCGAATTGCAAAGATCCCTGGTTTCTATTTTCCCCAAGGATAATCCAAGAAACTTGAGATTTTCTGTCAATTTTTTCACTTCAATTGGACTTGGATTTCTCACTGACAATCAGAGGAAATTACTTGAAGATATCGAGAATCCCAGAAGTTAGTTTCTGATAAGAATGGCTACAGGAAAAAGAAGGCGAACACAATAAGAGTATTTCTTGCTTTCTCGTTCTTTAAAATTCTTTTATTATTGAATTCTAATTCAACTTCTTCATTGTCCAAAGGCTTTTCTTTTCCTCCTGTAATTGATGGTACAAAATCCTTATACATAATATGCTCATTAAAATTTAATTGATTTGTAAAGTTACTATGTATATATTGAACTGGTAAGTACTTGCTGTCAAAATTCAGCACGTTTACTAAATAATTGCTGCAGTATCATCTCCATTGTTTGTTTTACTGCTCATTCATTTCACGAATAGTTTCCTAAAACTCCCCCCTCGAACTAGAGAGGGAACTCTCCTGTCTGGATGTAGATGTTGAAAATATACTTCAGTTCTGATAGCAGCAGTAGTTTATGATTGTACGTTTGCATTGCTTCTTGAAGCTTTCACTAACTACATTGTTGCATCTTCACTGATGTACACTTGACTTGCGAATGACATATGTTCCATTAGCTCATTGCTTGGTCGAGCCACAACAAATTTTCTTCTTGGTCAATTAACAACAACTTCAATTCCCCGATTGTGTTGATTTGTAAACTCAAGGTCATTGCCTGCAGTCCAGCGACAATAAGTTTATTTCTTGGTCGGTCAACGCCAACTGAAAATCTCCAATGGTGTTGACTCATGAACTGAAGATCATTGCTTGGTTGAGCAATAACAAGTTTGTTACTTGATTGACAAACAAAGTCTGCAATGGCAAAAAGTTCTTTAATGACAATTTGGGTATAGTCAAGTCTCAAGTTCATTGCTTGGTTAAACGACAAGGTCATAACTTGATTTATATTGCGACTCCATTTGCCATTTTGAGATTCAACCGGAATAATAATAATAATCGTTAGGCTGGATGAGAATATTTAAAAGAAACTAAAAAAAATAAAAATAGAATAATGCTATTCATCATTACTGAGGTTAGAATACGAGTCTAAGTTCCACTAACGTGGCATTAAACAATAAGTTTAATTAAATGAAGGGTAATTAGTACAAAAGATCCCCCACCTTTTATTGTTATTGTGTAAAACAACTATACATTTCATTTTTTTGGTATTTTCACCTTTATTTCCAACTTTCATTGCGCAAAGTCATTTTTACCTATTTTCTCAATTAAAAATTATAAAATGACGAATATACCCCTCTCTTTAAATAAAATAAAAAGAAACAGAAAAAACTAATTGCAATCACTCTTCCAATTTTTTTTTAAAAAAGTGCAAACAAGTCACAAATAAATTATTAAAAGTGTAATTAGTACATAATGTCCATATTTTTTACTGTTATTACGAAAAACGTCCCTTTTTTTTTTTTGCATTTTCACCCTTAATTACATATTTGATTGGGCAAACCATCATTTTCATCCATTTTCATCCAATTTTTAAATAAAAAATGTGAAATAACGACTATATCCTCATATTTAAATAAAATATATATTTTTTATGTCTAATTCTTTAATAATTTATTTGGAACTCGTTTGCACTTTTTAATTTTTTTTTAAATAAATTTAATTGGGGCTCGTTTTCACTTTTAAAAAAAATTAATTTTTTAAATAATTTATTGAGGACTTGTTTGCACTTTTCAAAATAATTTGGGAGTGTGATTGTAATTAATTCTCTAGTTTTTTATTTAAATAGGAGCATATATTCATCATTTCACAGCTTTTTATTAAGAAATTGGATGAAAATGAATAGAAATGATAGTTTGCGCAATTGAATGTGTCATTAAGGCCTTGTTTGGTACACATTATTTTTTTCATTTTCATTCTTCTACTCATTTTCAACCATACATTCTTCATAAAATAATATTTTCCATCACATCAATAACTTTTTCTTCATTTTTAACCACACATTCTCCATCAATCTACTATTCAATAATACATTCTTCCAAAAGAATGTGTTCCAAACACACTCTAAGGATGAAAATGTCAAAAAATAAAAGATATGGACGTTTTTTGCAATAATATTGAAAGGTTGGGACATTATGTGCTAATTACCCTTTTAATAATTTTTTTGGGACTCATTTGCGCTTTTGAAAAAAATTTGGAACTATGATTGCAATTAGTTTTTTCCTTTTTCCTTTTGTTTTATCTAAAGATAGAGGTATATTTGTCATCTCACAAATTTTAATTGAGAAAATTGATGAAAATGATCTTTTACGCAATTGAAGGTGGAAATAAGTGTGAAAATACCAAAAAAATGAAAGGTAAGAACGTTTTCCACAATAAGAGTGAAAGGTGGGGACGTTATGTGCTAATTACCCTTAAATGAATCACTTAATTTCATATTTCATTAAGTCTATCACATAACACCACATAAACTGGTGTTATAGCACCACAAGCGTTAAATAACATTATTCAAAAAAATAAGGAAAACTTGTATGAACAACTGGCCGGAAATGGAAGCTTGCAAGTTTAGCTTAATGTTTGATTAAACCTGCTCTAATACCATTAAGATTTTGAACATCTTGGGGAGTGAAGATGCTATATTATTAACTGAAATCACAAAATATTACATTGTGTATGCCAATTACAAAAGTACATCCATGCCAATTACAAGAAAATTTACAGCAAAAGAAGATTAAAAACATGGGTTGTTTAGCATTGTCATTAAACCAATCTGTTTTGCTTTGATGTTGCCATTGTTTCCCTAACAAATGCTGCAGTATCATCTCCACGTCTCAGTAAAGGTTTTGGGTTCACGTCTTGTCGTCACTCATTTAGATGAAATTGTGCACATGATAGGCGTGTTGAAGACTACTTATGATATAAACTTTTAGATCAAATAGTTTAACATTATACTTTTATTAATCTTGACAGAAAATGTTTTGAGATTTTCTACCTAGAATTGACTCATATACAACCTGGTTTAGGACTTCAATAAACATCTAAAATACAACTCAATGTCCTAACCACTTTCAAGTCCCTACCTACTTTAAAAACAGAAATTAGCATCACAAAGTCAAGATCCTTGTAGATTGAATTGATCTTAATCATGATCACGTCGTTTTCTCCTATTTCATTTTGTTACACAATCTATCGTGAATAGAAATAGATTTAGGATAGATGATTTTCAAGTTTCCTTCAGTTGATCTTAACAAAATCGAACATAGACCATAAATTTATTAATAAAATGTGCGGTTGAGATTAATTATGTTTGACTTTAACTCGATAATAATAAAAACAAAGTATTTATAAGCTACTAATAAGTTTACACGAATATAGGCTATATCTCTGGTGTGACGTTTCATTTTTTTAGTTCATGTACAAGACTCGGAACAATTCTATGAAATCTTTGGTGTTTTATGTATGAAATTATGCACCTGTGGAATATTTTGTTTTGTTTGTTTTATGTTTAGAAATTGCATTCATTGTGGAACTTTATTGTGCATGGAATAAGGTGAAGTTACCTATTTTATACGGAAGAATGTTGTTTGTAAGTAAGAAAAAAATTATAAATAAAGTTCGTAAATTTTCAAACTGAAAGAAACCGTCAATTTGCTGCACTTAGGTACTTTCCAGCACACCTTTGTGCAATGTTGATGTCGGTATTCACATAGCCTCCCTATTTATGATCCATCGAATACACAAAGCATAAAAAGGAAGAGAGTTCTTTAGAATATTTTTGATTTATTTTCAAAGTTAAATCATCTGCATCTTCAGTTCTTGAATAGGAGGAATATTCACATGTATTTTGGAAATTTGCTCGATTCTATCTCTTGGTTCAGTTGGAAGAAATGAAGGATCTGCAAGAATCGATCTCTCTACAAATGGCTGATGAAACGGACTTCTCATTTTTCAGAATGTAACTTCATAACAAAAATACAAAGGCCTAAGAGATTATTTCACTCGTACAAACTAAAAATAAAACTTCAAAATTGAAAGAAGGCAATAGGCCAACGGCCGGTTTTTCCCAATTTCTACTGGTTTTCCGGCTCATTATTTGGGGCGATGAGTGTTCCTTGGCTGTATATACTGCTCAGCTGCTGAAAATAAGGACATGTTCTTGAATCAATAGACCTCTTCTTGCTACTGTTTTTAGTCTTTCTGAAATACTTATTTATATTCTCCCATTTCTCTTTGCATCTTTTGGTACTCCTCTTGTACCCCAATTCAAGCATCCCCTGTGAAATTCTCTCCCATAATGGACCCTTTGACCCTTCCCTAATTTCAGTGTTGTTATTGAGTTTGCACCTCAGATTTATCAGAGCCAACACCTCATCTCTTGGCCATCTGTTGCCAGTGTCTCCACTTTCAAAATTCAAATTCTTGGAAGGCTTCTTTCTTGAAGATGGTGTAAATTCTAACTGATTATTCTCCTGGGGTTTTTCAGAATTAGGGTTTTGGGTTAGAACAGTTGAGCTGCTGGATTTTGAACTAGGGTTTTGGTGAATAAAAGCCATGCTTGATGAATTGGTTGCTTCTACTTTTTCTTGGGTAGTTGGGGTTTGATCTTGAGATTGAATAGTACTAGGTAAAGTCGTGTTGATATTGAGAAGATCCTGAATTTTCTTTACAAATTGCTGATCTTCTTCACAAGAATCTGAAACAAATTTCTTCAAAAACTCAATCATAAGAGCCTGTCTCTCCCCAGCAGTTGCTTGTTCTTCTGCCCTTTTCTCAATCTCCTTTTTAATCCTCTCCATATGTCTACTTTTCCAAGCTTCTTCTCTTGCAAATTTTTCCTCATCCCTCTTCAACATATCTTCTATCAGCTTATTGTGTAACTCTTCCTGTTGAACCATTATAGCGTTCACAATTTTTTCACAGAATCCCTTAAACATTTCAAATTTGTCTTCTCTTCTTTTCCTTCTCTTGTTTTCTCTTCGTTTATAAGCTACTTGTTCTTCATTTTCTTGAGATGTAGTTACTGCAGTTACAGTTCTTTCTGATTCTCCTTCCAAAATATTCCTCTCCTCTATATCTTCTTGATTTCGTTGATCCTTTTCCATAGAAACACGAAGTTCTTGATCTTGATCATCGGGATAGAATTCCTCGTCGTGTTCGGAGAAAATCCTGTAATTCTTGTTGTAGCTTATACTGTTGAAATTTCTGCTTTCTTCTTCAAATTTCTCCTTGCATTTATCCGCAGCTCTTTTAAATCCAAGCTCTGAAAGTTTCCTGCACTGATTTATAATGTATGAAAACCATAACAATCACTGCAGTTTTCCTAAAACAATTAAGGACTGCAGTTTTTAATCTCTGTCCCTTTAGGCAGATGCAGGAATAATATATTAACTTTATTGTCGGTTCATATACTTAAATTATACATCCAGCAGAAGTTTTTGTAGTGAAATAGCTTAAAAATAAGAATAAAAATAGCAGAAAACGAGATTCAAAAAAGCAAGCGTCCGTGCACCCTCGATTTTCGTATACAGTACACGTGAATTTCAAAATAAAAAATCACAAGATGAATTATATGTACCTTGAAACTTGTTCCCAAGTAAAATCTGAAAACCAATTCTCGATGTTGGATCTAATTCTAAGCAGTGCAAGAATTTCATTATGCGACCATCCAGGATCGGTCGATGTGGTCGTTTCCGGCATAGATCTCTCTCTATGTTCTTCATGTTTTTGTTCGATCTTGTGATGAAGAGAGGACTCCAGCTGAAGATGTAATTGATGAGAAGAAAACGGATCAAAACTGGGAACTAAAGACGGGTTTGATACATGAAGTGGGAACGAAAGAGGAATAGGCAGTGAAGTTCTTGATGAAGCTATGAATTGATGAAATTGATCACCAGGCTGCATACCATCAAACATGGCTTTCTTTTCACTGTAAATTCACCACAAAAGAATGGCTCTTTAATGAATTGAAGGAGACTTTTGTCCTGTATTGCAGTGGAATAATAAATGGTAGAAGCCCCAATGCCAGTACAGACAGTGGCCAATTGATGAGTAGAGTAGGCAAGCGGCTCATAAACACGTGGGTTGTGCAGTAAATGATAGTATACTCCAAAATTAAAATAATTAGAATCCTATGCAGAAGGTGATGGTGATGTTCGAGTCTACAGGGCACGTGAATGCATGCAGAAACTGGGACCATTATTTTTTTATCTTCATAAAATTATTGATAAATTTCAATCTTATCAACGAAAGGAAAATGACAATACCAAGTGAACGGTGAAATGCGTAGAGATTGAAAAGTTTTTTTTTTTTTTTTTATGAATATTGGTTTTTCGAATCGGATTCTTGATTTTTTGAATCGGTCATGAGTTCGATCTAATTTTCAAAACATGAGGATAACAAAATTAGGAAGGGGATCTCAATGGAAAACGGATGGTGGGTTCCAAGCTACACAAACCATTAGGACACGCGAATCGATGTTCAATTATTTGACATCGTGAAATTATTTATTCAACTATTCCTTTCACAATGAGTGTGCTCACCGCGAAAAGACAAATAGTACGGTGTTCTGATACTCCCTCCGGCCCATATATATAGGCTTGTTTCATTTTTCACACGGATTAAGAAATCTTATTTAATGTTATTGGAAAAGCAATTTTTATCAAGAACTTTCCAAGTTTATCCCTATTTAAATTTCAACAACTAGAAGTAAATTATTGTTGGAATTAGTAACTAGGCAAATTAAATAAGGATAAATTAGTAAAAGAACAAAACATAACATTCCCAATTAAGAAACAAGCCTATATATTTGGGACAAGAAAAAAAGGAAACTCAGCCTATATATATGAGACGGAGGGAGTATTAAAATAATAACTTGACAAATGAAAAAATATGTTTAAAATCCTGGAAACGTTAACATTAGTGAGTGTATATATAAACATATGTCAATATGAATATATGTTTTTGCATGTTGTTTAATCCATAACAACTCAAAACATTGAGTGACATGTAGGGTTTGTTTGGGAGAGATTTTTTTGAGTAAAAATTTGGTTTGATTTTTTTTTTGAAGAATGTATAGTTGAAAGTGTTAAAAATTTCTGAGCCATGTAATTTGAGGTTGAAAATGATCTTTTGGGAAAAAAATATTTTTGAAATCCCTCCTAAACAAGTTCGTAATCTCCAGGTAAGATTATTTTTGTTCTTAAATTGAGTAAAAAACTAGCAATAAAATTACACGAGAGTTACTATTGCAAATTTTGGTTGTTCCTCGACACTATGTGGATTAGGTGTGTGTTTATGGGCTCGAATACCAGCCCAGTGGACTCAGCCCTCGAGATTGATAAAAGTTAGGCTGAAAGTTCTGTCCACTGTTACAAGTGGCCAATGTATTGGCCTAATTAGGCCCAAAGATCTGAATCCCCCCACCCCACCCCACCCAAAAAAAAAAGAAAAAAAAAACTATTTATGAAACTCAATGCTTAGTGTCACTATTTAATTGGCTTGTCTATCATTTATTCATAAGTCGATCTCAATTATTTAACACACATTCAATTAAATAATGACGGAAAATACTTTGTTCTTCATATTTAAGGAGTACTAGAATTTTTTTCGTTTACAAGAAAATCTTGTAGCCAAAAGATTTACTTTAGACATCAACAGTTTTTTAGCCCCTTTGTCGGGTGGTTGAGACATTAGTGAAAAATAATGACGAAAAAAGAAATTTTATTTTATTTAATATATTGTTTAGTATATTCTAATATGATAAATTTGTTGGATATTTTCAACATATATGGGGCCACACGTTGTATATTAAAATGTGTTGTGCTATTATTTAAAAGATATTAGTCAATTAAAGTGATCCGATAAAGATGTATTGTGACTAATGTGTATTAAATTTCATGGAATTATAGTGTAGGAACCTGATTGTTGTTTTAAATTGATGAGTGGTCAATTTGAAGCAACTAAAAGATAGTGGCTATTGAGTTACTACTATTATTTTATATGGTTATGATCCTCATTTGTTAGTGTTCTTCAAGTTTCTCTACATCACATCCCCATCAATAAAGAGTAAAAAAGTTAAGGAAAGATAATCAATCATTTGAAAGATCCTAACCTATTCAGGCAAATAATTGGATTATCATGGATCAATATATGTTTTTATGTTTTGTTATTTTTTCGGATTTCAACATGGATATGAATCTATGGTTATATTATTGAGAATTAAGAATTTGATTATTGTTTTGATCGATAATCCTATTATGTTTTTTTATCAAAATTGTCCACTTTTTTTATGCAGTGGTGTCGTGGATGGGGAGGCCCTGGTCAGTACGATATGGCTACATTTTCAAAGATCAATTATCACTTTCAATACCATTGTTTCAACATGGTTAACTGTGTTTAGCTCATCGTTGCCATTCAAAAATCAAGCCAAAATCGAGGTCCATATTGATTTACCTATTGGTCCATCATATTATGCAGACCTTGGCGAGCTGAATTTCTCAACCTAACAACCTATGGAACTGGCCCAATCATCCCAATTTGTTAAAAAAAAAAAATGCAAAATGAAAAGCTAAAAGAGACATCATGCAACCTTACAAATTTAATATTTTACAAACATTTAATGAGGTAGCCCCCAAATCAACTAGGAATTCGGCCATTTCTAATTCTGGTTTTATTTTACATATACTAAAAATTTGATTTTTTTTTTTTTAATGATAGTGAATTAGTTGTTGGCCTCGAAAAATGGTTCCGACACATGACCAATAGAACGAAACTCCACGTAAGCTCCTCCATGTGCACGGTAGTACACCGTTAGTCACTAGTGGCTTTTTTGATGGGGGTGGAAGCGGCCGCGAGTACTCCGACGGTCAAGTCAGTATTTCGTTCAACCGAAAGGTGGTGCCCGACGATAAAGTGGTCACCGGGACATGGTTGAGAATGCGTGTAAATATAGTGAAAGACTCTTTAGAGTTAAAAGACTAGAATGCAAATATTAGAATGAGAACCCCATTCTTACCATAGAGTGAGGGTATTTATACTAAAGAAGGGAAGAGGAAAACCATTAGACGGGGAGACACGTGGCTGTAGATTCTAGACGGGTCATCCTTTCATAGGCGTCAATCTGTCAATCCATATGCTGGCAGGCATTAAATGGTTTCTGACATAGCAGCTGAGTTGACCGTTTGTAACCTGTCACACGTCCCATCAATCAGTCAGGGACTTAACTTTAGAGAGATCTCCCTTTGCGGGGCGGATTGTGAGGAGTAACGAACAAGGAGTGCGGGCCCTTTGCATTCGTCGTGAATAGCGGATGAGTTCGGTTCTTCTACGAGGTAGGGGCGACAGTGTTTCAATTCGGAGTTATAGAATCAGTTTGTCGATGTGGGATCCAGTTCCTTTGCCACGTGGATCAGATCAGCTTGGCCCAAACGTAGCGGATGAGGTGGATTGACGAGGCCTGTAACATTAGTCATGCACAAAGTTGCCTTATAAGTTCACAAGTCAATTCGGTCCATATATTTGGAAGATGGCTCAGTTTTTGCATGTTGTTTAATCCATAACAACTCAAAACATTGAGTGACATGTAGGGTTTGTTTGGGAGAGATTTTTTTGAGTAAAAATTTGGTTTGATTTTTTTTTTGAAGAATGTATAGTTGAAAGTGTTAAAAATTTCTGAGCCATGTAATTTGAGGTTGAAAATGATCTTTTGGGAAAAAAATATTTTTGAAATCCCTCCTAAACAAGTTCGTAATCTCCAGGTAAGATTATTTTTGTTCTTAAATTGAGTAAAAAACTAGCAATAAAATTACACGAGAGTTACTATTGCAAATTTTGGTTGTTCCTCGACACTATGTGGATTAGGTTTGTGTTTATGGGCTCGAATACCAGCCCAGTGGACTCAGCCCTCGAGATTGATAAAAGTTAGGCTGAAAGTTCTGTCCACTGTTACAAGTGGCCAATGTATTGGCCTAATTAGGCCCAAAGATCTGAATCCCCCCACCCCACCCCACCCAAAAAAAAAAGAAAAAAAAAACTATTTATGAAACTCAATGCTTAGTGTCACTATTTAATTGGCTTGTCTATCATTTATTCATAAGTCGATCTCAATTATTTAACACACATTCAATTAAATAATGACGGAAAATACTTTGTTCTTCATATTTAAGGAGTACTAGAATTTCTTTCGTTTACAAGAAAATCTTGTAGCCAAAAGATTTACTTTCGACATCAACAGTTTTTTAGCCCCTTTGTCGGGTGGTTGAGACATTAGTGAAAAATAATGACGAAAAAAGAAATTTAATTTTATTTAATATATTGTTTAGTATAGTCTAATATGATAAATTTGTTGGATATTTTCAACATATATGGGGTCACACGCTGTATATTAAAATGTGTTGTGCTATTATTTAAAAGATATTAGTCAATTAAAGTGATCCGTTAAAGATGTATTGTGACTAATGGGTATTAGGTTTCATGGAATTATAGTGTAGAGAACAGAGTGTTGTTTTAAATTGATAAGGGACCAATTTGAAGCAACTGAAAGATAATTATGTTATTGAGAATTAAGAATTTAATTATTGTTTTGATTGATAATCCTATTATGTTTTTCTATCAAAATTGTCCACTTTTTTTATGCAGTGGTGTCGTGGATGGGGAGGCCCGGGTCAGTACAATATGGCTACATTTTCAAAGATCAATTATCACTTTCAATACCATTGTTTCAACATGGTTAACTATGTTTAGCTCATCGTTGCCATTCAAAAATCAAGCCAAAATCGAGGTCCATATTGATTTACCGATTGGTCCATCATATTATGCAGACCTTGGCGAGCTGAATTTCTCAACCTAACAACCTACGGAACTGGCCCAATCATCCCAATTTGTTAAAAAAAATAAATGCAAAATGAAAAGCTAAA